TTGTTTTAAGGAAAAACTCACTTAATATTGGCATATTATTTCTGAAAACAAGACTTGTTCTGCTTGCCTAGAAAGTTCTTCTTGATTTAAGAATTTTTTTTGATATTTGATCTAGAACAAGACAAAAGATCTTAGTAAGAAAAGGAGTTTTTGCAATGTAGTTTAAAAATTGGCAAATGGTGCATTAAAGCATAACCAAAATACAAACTTTTTAATTGTATATTAACAACATCTCACAAGTAGTGCAATATGGCTCTATCAACACAGCTGTGATGTAAATCAACATTAACTCCATGATTGTCTATCAGAGTAAGCTCTACCTACACAGTTATATTGCATTGCTACACTATTACACAAGAGAGAAAGGGATGGACCACGTGAATATGATTTCAACACTAATACACATAAAAAAAACAATGGTTCGAACTATGACCACATTTTAATATAGCGTTCAATTGATTTGTTATGAAACTTAACATTGCCCCAAGACGGATCTTTTTGATCTTGAACAAATAAAAGATTTAGACTAAACTTTGGCCATTAGAAAGGCCAAAAACAATAATACAGTAGTTCGTGTAAAACCCATATAGAGACATGCAACAGAGCCACTGGTACATTCCAAAATAAGTATCCAAGGTAAGGATGTTCTCAGCAGGCTATATCAGCAATGAGCAACCACCAACATGCTCAAACTCAATTCTCTTATGCTCATTTAGAAGTGAGTATTATCTTTAAGTCCAAGCAAGTACACTTTTGGCCAAAATTTCAGCAACAATCGAATTCAATTCATCTTCATTTCTATAGTGCTTTTACAATGTAAATTGTGTCAAAGCAGCTTAACGTAGAAGTTATAGTAAATTAAAACTGTCAGTCCAGTTTTCAGAGTTAAAGTTCAGTTCAGTGTGGTTTAATTTTCACATTTGAAAGTTCAAACACTGAAGAGCAAACCCAGCTATGCGCAGCTCCACGAGTCCCAAACCAAGCAAGCCAGTGGCAAGGAACAAACTTCACTAATTAGGAACAAACTTCTCCAGTGCAACAATGACAGTATTTTCCTTGCCAGCAAGTTTAGTTCTTTGTCATTGCTCATGCAATGAATGCTAAATGTGGTGTGAAACAAAGATAAAGAAATCGTTGTTAAATTATTTGATGAGTTTGAGCATTTTTTGCATAGTTCTAACATTTATTTTATGGTTTTATTTATTTATTTTTTATTTTATATATATATATATATATATATATATATATATATATATATATATATATATATATATATATATATATATATATGTATATATATATATATATATATATATAGAGAGAGAGAGAGAGAGAGAGAGAGAGAGAGAGAGTAATGGTTTAGGATAACTATTATTATTAGTAAACTAGTTTAAGCTATCCATGTTTCAAAAATATGAAGTTGCTTAAAATTATTAGTTACTTATGGAGTTATTTGTTATCATATAATACTTTTAACCTAGTGCTTCATGGAATTCCAATTAACCTTATAGGTTCATTTACTGATCTGAAATTAACTCTTGTTCAGTAAATAGTTTTAATAGCCATTTTGACTGAAACATGCTCAACTGTAACTTTTATTTAGTAATTAATGTTCACTGTAAAAATATACATCAAGTGTTTCATATTTTGTGATTCATGCATATTTTACATTTTCAATTTGAATGTTGGGACCTTGATCTCAGCTCTAACAGTCTCATGCGACAGTTCTGCTACAAAATGTAATAAATAATTATGAACACTAAGCAATATTAATAAAATATGAAGGTATTTCCATGTTTATTTTTTACTGTAGTCTTTCAGAGCACCAATTCATTCACTATACACTGAAATTCAGCTCGCGTAGAGTGGATGAAAAACATTTCCAATCAACTCATTCTTTCTCAATTTTCTTCTTCCAACAAGATGCTTTCTTGTGCAACTTCATGTGGAGACAGGAGCAAGCTTTCGAAATCCCTCTCACAGATTGCGGTTTACTTTCTGGCAGTGTTTATGTAGTTTTTTTATTTACTCCTATTAAAATAAGATAAAATACCCCGCACAACCCCGGGTTTCTCAGGAGAGCTACAATCCCAGCTGATGACTTAGCAGCCTAAATAAGATTATATCATCTTTAGCCAGGGGTGAAAAACAGAAGTCTTCTGGAGGCATCTGATCTATCACACCATGTCTGCATAGCTTCTTCTGTCTTATGAATAAGGCCTGTGGTGCTCAAATTACATTAGGCAGAGCTTAACACTGTGTCTGTGTCTGGATGAAGCTCAGATTAGCATGCACTCCAGGATCAACCCTCAGGGCAGCCATGATGAACAACTCCATGCTTTGACTGTGCAAACCTGTGCTCATTTCCTTTGCATGGGATGAGACCGAATAAACCTTTGCCATGCAAAATAACTGACAGCCTCCCACCCGCAGTGATTAATTTTCATAATGAAAACTTTAATGGAAAAGTGAAGGGGAGAGTTGTAGTGAGCACACCAAAAACAGAAAAGACAGCTCTTCTGAAGACAAAGGAAAAAAGAAAATGGATTTACATCACATCTTCTGTTCGAGTGCTAAATAGAGATCATGCATTCATCCGATTTCAAGTGCTGTTTGTTTCAGAGCATGGGGTGTAATTCTGAATATTTCTCTTTGAAATCTCTGGTTCATGCAGATTTCTTGAGTAATTTATGCCAAAATTAATAGTTTGCATGCCTTTAAAGACATGCCTGAATATCTGATGCGCAGTGGTGGGTGGTTGAGAGTGTGCATTTGCATAGCAATGGTTGCCTTTCCGTAAAGATAACAACTTTGAAAAGCATGCTAAATACATTTGGAGTTAATAGTAGGTGGGTTGAGCGTTGAAGCTGCCCACTGATTGCCCTCAGCGCAAATTATTATGTACACCTTAAATGCACAGTACGCCAACTGCACTGTGTATGCTTTTATTTAGAGAAAGAGGAATGGATATAAAGGTGCATACAGTATTGATTCCTTAAGGAAAGTTCAAAGCAACACACTTGTAGAGAGAAACACACTGCTTGCTTGTTTTATGCTTCAGGTAACAGCTTTAAGTGCACATGTTTTTTTGTTTTTGTTTTTTTTAATGTGTATATATACTGTATATATACTGTATGTATGTATGTATATATATATATATATATATATATATATATATATATATATATATTTCAGTACATTTTATTATTTGCTAATTCTTGAACACTAGTACTTAATAATATGCTATATATATATATATATATATATATATATATATATATATATATATATATATATATATATATATATACCAATAACGATATGATCAAGTTCTTAACACATAAAAAGCAAAAAAAAAGTTTTACAAACAAATATTTTTGCACACTTGATGCACTTGATTACAATTTATATTTCATTTCAGTACATTTTTTTTGTAATTCCACTAATACTAAACAATATGCTAAGTTTGTTTATTTATTTATTTACTTATAATTTTTTTTATTTATTTATTATTGTTATTACATGTATTATTATAATTTCTCAAATTACTTTAAAAAAAAAAAAAAAATATATATATATATATATATATATATATATATATATATATATATATATATATATATATATATATATATACCATGCATATTATACACTGAGAACTATGTTTTGTAATTCGTCTCATTTTCTCAACATTGTGCCATATTTAGTCTCTGAGTCTCCATTTGACCTAAATGTACATTAAGCAAAAAAATTACATGTGGCACAGCTCGGATATGGCCCATGTGCGTGTAAGCAGGAACAAATCACTTGGATTCCGATTTTTCTCAAATCAGATTCAGGCTTTATTCATATGTGGAAATTTATCTGATATGAATCGGATCTGTGTTCTCGTGTCTGCAGTGTAAGCAGGTAGACCAGATTTTCACCTGTCACGCGTCATTAAAAACTGTAGCAAAAGACGTCGAGACTGACACTTTCTTTTCAGAACAGACTTCAGCAGAGTCCCAAACCTTAAATCTTTTACACGAGGACTTAAACAGCTTTCATATTGTGATATAGCACAGGTATTTAAGCATGTTAACGAGAGCATGAAAGCGCAATGTCAGCCACGTAGCCAATATAAACTAATATAAAACTAGTGCATACATTACGTGCATAAAACACACCATAGACATTACATTAAGATGCCTAAAGTTTTAAAAAAGCTGTTAAATCAAAAGAAGATGGACGAATGAGAACCTTTAAACTTTAGTAAAACAGCTTGTCAAAAGCTGCTACCGGATAACATACAGGAATAGAGAAAAGAGCACTTTTTATTATCAGCTGTTAGTCAGCGCCCGCTCTTTTTTTTTTCCAAGTCATTGAGCCTTTGCCGTGTGCTGTGCAAATGCAGACGATCGTATTTAAGTCACTTTTAAAAGATGATGTAAGCAGGTCATCAAAAAAATCGGATACAGTCACAAAAGCGGAATTGACCATCAAGATCTGCAGTGTAAATGCAGCCTTAGAGTCTTCCTTCAATCTAACTGTTTACTTTGTATATAGTCACACTTAAATGTTTGACATTTTGCTACCTTTGCTTATTATGTGTGCCTTTTTAGCCTCCAAGTGTCCTTAAAAAAAAAAAAAAAACTTTCACCTTGGGAAAAAATCTTGCACAAAATACTGTTTATTAATGTTTACACATCAATCTGATAGATCACGTTGTTTATAGTCGCAAGTATTTAAGCCATTTTGACCTTTAATACAAGCTGTTCTGTGAATTCTGTACAATTTTGGTCTATATTGCTTTCACACGGCAGCGCTTTGCTATGTCATCATCTGTTATTCTGTTCATTTACTGTACAGTGAATATAATGCTTTAATGAAGACATTTTCATGTGCGCCGAGTGATCTGTGGAATAATACGTCGTATTCATCTAGGTCAAGGTAAGTGTTAGATGAAAGAGTTACATCGCTGTCTAATATCTTTTCATTTGCTGTCTTCATTTGCATTTCAGAGTTACAACTGCCTCTGTCTACCCGGATGGGAGGGGGAGTACTGTCAAAGGGAGACCAATGAATGTTTATCAAACCCCTGTAAAAATAACGCCACCTGCACAGACCTCCTCAATGCTTACAGGTGGGTTGCATAAATGCAGCTTGGTCGGAAAAGGAAATCTGTATGAATGGACGGGCTAGAGATAAATCATGGTGACTAGTTGTCTTATCTAGCTGGCAGTAGTTCAGATTATATAGGTTTTTTATTAATTTAAAGGCTACCAATTTTGTAAAAGTCACTCTTATATGGTATTTGAATAAAGATACAGTTAAATTAAAATTATTAGACCTCATGTGGTTTTCAGATATTTCCCAAATGGTGTTTAACAGAGCAAGTACATTTACACAATATTTCTTATGATATTTTTTTCTTCTGGCGAAAGTCTTATTTGTTTTATTTCTGCTGGAAATAAAATCTGTTTTTTTTTTTTTTTTAATCATGTTGAGGTCAAAATTATTTATTGTCAAAATTGGTTATTATCAATTCAATTCGATTCATGTTTATTTAGATAGCTCTTTTTACAATCTAGATTGTTTCAAAGCAATTTAACATAGTTTTAGTAAAGTTCAGATTTCTGTATATAAACTGAACAAGACCTTCAATTGTCTAGAGAACAAACCAATGTTGTACAATGACATGTTTAATTACCCTGACTTGCCTAGTTAACCTAACCAAAGTTAAGCCTTTAAATGTCACTTTAAGCTGAATACTATTGTCTTGAAAAATCTCTTGAAAAATATTAAAAGATAAAATAAATAATTTGTTAGAAATTAGTTATTAAAACGCTTAAGTTTAGAAATATGTTGAAATTCTTCTTTTCGTAAATTTTTTTTTAAAATTTTAGCTATTTATTCATGAGGACTAATAGTTTGTTGCAACATAGGCCTATTCTGAAAACGTACCCATTTATACATTTTTGAAGATCGCGAATTATGGAGCCAGAGGAACGTATGGCTGCTTATCGTCTTTAAAATGAACGCTTCGGGGTGGTATGACACTGTTCATTTTTGATCAGTCGTTCAGTCAGTAAGTCAGTTTACAGTGGCCTCTGGTGGATTTACATGAGAACATCAGTTATGAATGGCACTCGTGAAAAAAATTTGAGATCTCAAAAAACATACACAGTGGCTTGTGGATTTGTGAAAACAAAAACTGCAAAAAAAGTACCACCTGGGAAGTATGGCTACATTTCATCTTTAAAACGAACATTACGAGGCAGTATGACAGCATTCTTTTTGCGCTTACCAGCTGACCGCTTATCTCCATGTGGACGGCTCTTCTGCTGTTACCAGATTGTTCCATAGGCTCGCTGTGTATGTCTGAGGATTTGAGACACAGAGTGGGGTTGACTATGACAATGAGAACAGCGAAGAACAATTCCAGAAAGCAGGTAAAACAAAAACAAAAGGCTAAAAACTCAACAAACAAGTAAATAGACGGGTAGAATGTGGTAAAATCTGAAAACATGATAAACATTAGGCGGCCGTAAGGGATTTTCTTTTTCTTAATTGCTTTTGAAAACACTATTGGTTGGGTTTAGGGAAGGGGATGGGTGGGGTCATCGGTTGGTCAGTTAGTCAGTCAGTTGTCAGCAGCCTCTAGTGGATTTACGCAGCAACAGCAGGCTTGAATGGCACTCACAAAAGAAATTTGCAGTAGGGTCTGTTTGCCGACTGAATGGGGCGTCACATGAAGGGGCTTTAGGGGCGTAACTTGTAGTACATTAGAGGCGTAACTTGAAGTTATGGGGACATGTCAAAAGTATGTTGTCAGCAAGATGGCGCTGTATATCAGCTATTAACATCTACACCTACCCCACACCTAAACCCAATCATCACAACAAATAATGTCTATACCTACCTCCACCCTAAACCCAACCATCATTGCTATTAATGTCCACACCTTCCCCAAACCTAAACCCAACCATCACAGTTATTTACGTCTATACTTACCACAACCCTAAACCCAAAAATCACTGCTTAACACATAGCCACGAGTTGCAGAGGCTTTAAAATGTGACACGCTTGCCATTGTACTGTTATTTGTAACCACAGAGGGTGAAGCCGAGTAAGCTAACTGTCATGACAAAATGGATGAAGAAGTCAGCGAGTGGAGTTGCATGGTGGAGTTGCTAATTGAATGAGTATAATTATATATCAAATTAATTGGTTGAGGAAAAATATGGAGAAAACTCATGAAAATATTTTATAAAAATAGAATTTTTTTCAAGTATTTCTTGCCAATAACATCTCTTTGTGACATCTCATGTTGTTCAATAACTACAAGTTACGCCCCTTCATTTTACGCTCCCGTATTGCAGTTCACAGTCAGATACACTTGGAAATTTGACATCTCAAAAAGTGCACACAGTGGCCTCTGGTGGATTCACGAACACAAAAACTGCAAAAAAATGTAGCTCCTGGGATGTATTTTGTGCTCTCCAAAAATGCATATAGGGGTACGTAATCAGAATGAGCCTGGGTTGCATAATTCTGATTTCAGTTGTATGTCCATAGTGTGTGTAAACAACCAGCTTATAATTGTAAAAATCCACAAAATCCCTATAAATACGAAAACGCTTTATTCAAATGCAGTTTCAATTTCCCTCTGAGGACCTGCCTGCTAAAAAAAAGTGTTAAAATGCTGTAGGAACTATCAGTGAAATATAGGAGTCTCCGTAGAAACCTGATAGTAAAGCCACTGAGGTCTTTGTGGTTACATTTTGAAGGTAATGTACCAGGGAGTATAAAGTGTTTGCACAAAGCATATTTCATAGACAGCTTCAGCGGTGAGGGTCAGATCAATGCTGAATTTGCGGAAAGTTGTTTTTGAAAGAATGCTTCACAGTCTTAATTTGTCTAGAACTAGTACATGATGTCGCTTAATGTCCAAATGTCCTTTCAGGATGTACTTGTTGACATAGTGGCTAAAAGTGCCTGTCTCTGCCTCTGTCGGAATTTTTTTAATCTTACAAATTATGTAGTAAACATGTCGAACCAAGTGACTTGAGTATTTATCAATTATAAAAGTTTTTTTTTTTATTTAAAAAAGGTACCTTAGAGAGAAGTGCTACCAGGAATAGTACCTTAGAGAGGAATTTAACAGTCAAATGATAGAAAATGACATGAATGATAACATTATGCTAAGCTTGCAAAGTTTGAACCATATGTGAAAAAGGGGGAAGGAGATGTATGAGGGAGATAATGTAAAAAAAGAGGAAGAACAAACTATAAAGTGTGTTGAAAAAATCAAACATGTACTGGGTTATGTCTCTGAGAGTGTCTCGGCTTCATTGTAATAGACAAAGTCTGTTCTTCTTGCATTAAAACCTTCAGACTTGATTGTGGTTATCTAATGAGACGACCCAATTCCACAACATATTCACAAAGACCTTCAAACTTTCACTGACAGCAAAATTCAAAAACACACATTTATTATGCGCAGAATAGTCAGGTGACATGACTTGCTTGTTGTTTGTAATGTTAAAAGAATAGTACTAATAGTGTAATAATGTTTAAATCAGTGGCATAGCGCAAATTGCTTAGGCCCCCCGGCAAAAGTCAAGGTGGGAAATCTCACTGCATAAACAGATAAGCACTTACGAGTGCTTCTGCTGTATGTGTTATAGCAAACATAGTTTATTTCAAGTTAAAACTATTGACTGCTATAACCTTCTTTTACAAATGAGAATCTTGACATTTTTGCATTCAAACCATAACCTATTTATCCATCCATCTATCCATTTATTTGGTTAATGATTTGATTAATGAGCATCAGTTGTCGTTCAAGAAAATTATTAAAATGATCATCCACATTTTTTTTTTTGTTTTTTTGTGGCCCACATTGACCAGCACATTGTAGCTGAGCAGTAAAATATTAATAAATCAGTTTATTCAACGTTACAATCCACAACAATGACGAAAATATATCCACCAACCCTTTATAAACATTCTGGTGCAGAACCTCTTACTGTGCATCATTGTTCAATTCCTGTTTGAATGTGCAAGGCTTTCATCTTTTATCAGTAAAGTGGAATTTTTCTTTGAGTCTTGTGTTTTTCTTGTGTTTTTTTTACTCTTTTTTTTTCTGCTGCAATTGACTCTTTAAAGAAAAATAAAATAAAATCTCTACTTTTGTTAAAGTATTTTCAAGACTCTATTTGAAATATTATTCCTTGTGTTATTGCCTCCTTAAGATTAATCGCTTTGTTGTTCTCCTCATTTGTGAGTTACTACGGATAAGTGTCTGTTAAATGAATAAATTTATGTAAATCTAAGTTTATCATGAATGTTATTTTAAATTTGAGGTTAATACTTCAGGCCCTCTAGTTTTCGCAATTCCACGATTGCTGAATCCAATGCAAAATCAAAAAAAAGTTGCACATTTTTGCGATCCTGCAAAATGCTTAATTTAAACGCAAAATAATATTCACAAAAAAAATTAAATCTCTTAAAACATCAAATTCCAAACCATATAATTAAATTACAAATAATTGTTTTACATGACTCATAGACATTGCATATGCTGCGCATGCGATGTATTTGAGTGCCTCTCGAAAAATGTCGTCTCACCTGCGCCCTCACAATCATTACATTACATGAAATGGGGGCGGGGGACTTTTCAGCCTGTGCATTAAGCAGACGTGGATAAAGTGCAAGTGATTTACATGTAAAGTCAAAGCAAAGATGGGTTTAGACATCCTGTGGCGTGAATTAGGTGTTTCGTGCGTTTGATGCGCTTCAGACTGCAAAAGAAAGTGGGAGCAAACATCTAACAAATGGAGCAATGGAACAGATAGATGGAGATTGGTTCACGGATGACGGCCGCTGAACGTGACGAATTAAAGGACGTTATTTGGGCTTTACATGTGTGGCTGGTAATATGATGTGTGTCAAATCAATCAATTAGTTTGTTTAACTCTTTCCCTGCAGTTAACATGAGAAAACGAATCCCTGCCATTGATGAGTTTTACAGCAATCCTTGTTTTAGGTGTATTACGGTAGGGAAAGCCTTAATGCATGTCCTCTGAGGTACATGATGTCAGATGCTCTGAGGAGTGAAATCGGAACAGAAAATAAGAT